CAGAAGGATCGCATCAGCTGTTGACTATAAACCAGATGAGGCGAGAGAGGAATTTGTCAACAGGCCTGTTTTTCAATCAGAAAACAGAAAATGCCTGAATCAGCATGAAAAACTGATTCTTTAATGTCTTAAAGAAATAAATCATCTAATGAGCCAAATCTTGAAAACTGCCTGCATAAAAACATGTGGGTGCAGCAACATAGCTCAGATCATCTGCAGTGTACAAGTTTCATGTTGGTTTGGTATCAAAAAGTTGACCATGCTTCCTTTGGATTTTGTGGATCGGGTTAAATTATAATTTAAGAATGTCTCAGTGAATGTGATAAAAACGTTTTTTTGAGCAGAAAGGGTCTGAAGATTGAAAGACAAAAGACGGGATGCATATTTGTTAGCACTGTTGCCTCGCCGCAAGAAGGTTGCAGGTTTGAAACTCAGCTGTGGCCTTTCTGCGTGGAGTTGTCCACAAGATGTCCCTCGTTCTAGGTGTCGTACTCGCGGGGACCGGGCTTTCTCAGTCCTAGCACCGTCACTCTGGAACCAGTTGCCACCCTCAGTTAGGCTGTCCCCATCTCTGCCAGTCTTCAAGAGTCGCCTAAAAACCCACCTCCTCCGCTTGGCGTTTCCTGAACATGTTTGAATTTGGCCTCTTTTATGTTGATTTGATCTCACAGTTTTCATTGGTTCACTTTTTCCCTTGTTTTACACATTTGTCTTCTACTAGAATGTTTCACCTTTTTTGTAATTTGTAATCTGTAATTTGAATTGCTTTTATTTTCTGATTTACTCACTTTATTTAACTTTGTACTGTACCATGTTCAGTGCCTTGGGCTTCCTGACAGGGTTGCGGAAGGCGCTTTATAAATAAAGGTTTGATTGATTGATTTGCATGTTCTCCCCGTGCGTGCGTGGGTTTCCTCCGGGTACTCCGGTTTCCCCACAGAACAGATCTCAACATGCCCTATAGATTCACAATTGTACGTCACTTTGGATAAAGTGTTAGCCATAAAATAAACATGAACATAAATGAATAAAATTAATTAAAAACAAAAACATATATATAAAATTGAAGAAAAGGCAATAATACAAATGGAAAAACAACACAAAAGATTTAAAGTTGCTATGGCAAATTTGGAAAACGAATTAGCTTAAAGGGACTTTATGGAGTTTTGAATTTTTATGCTCGCGATCGCCCCCTCAGGCCAAAAGCGTAACGGCAGCTTCAATGGTAGGCTCGTGCACGAGGTGCGCATGCTGCACGTGCACACTCCTTAACAAAAATAACAGCTGAGACAGTCCTGTGTGTGTGTGTGTGTGGGGGGGGGGGGGGGGGGGGGGGGGAGGACAGAGGACAGGAGAACACACAGCTAATTAATTAAATAATGTGGTTCTGTACCTTTCTCTTCAGCACAGCCGACAAAGGTTTATGATGGGTCAGTCCTCCTGCATGCTCAGATCATTCCCTTCCCTTGCTTGAAAAATTGTTCTAAAATGAAAGTTGAACCCACATCTTTTTTATCTGTGAATTCAATGCCGTTCAGCGAGTCTCAAATAAAAATTTGGGCATCTTACTGTAAAAAATATACCATTAATGTAAAAAAGAAACTATGTTCACATCAAAAATCGAAACCGGGTCTTCCGCACAAGAGTCCGACATATTACTAGGTGAGCTAAAGCACCAGTGACATCTTTTGTATCTGTAGTATTTATATCCTTGATGACAGCTGAAACAACGTTCAAAGAACGGTTCAGAGCGAAAATGGCTATTTTGTTGCTAATTTGCAGGAAATATCTAGAAGAAAGTAGCTAAGGGTCCTCAGAAATGTAGTTAGGTTCATCACTAGGCGTTAGGAACAGCGACAAAGTCGCTGAGTTGGCACTGCCTCTCTCTCTGCTGCTAAAGCTGCGGATAGCAAATGCTACGGGCGATGCCTGAGCGTGAACGCGCATGAAGCAGCCTGCTCGACCCGAGCATCTCTCTTTTTCTGTGATTTTACAGAAAAACAGGCAATCACAGTAAAAATGCCAGGGCTCATTCTACAGGACCAGGGCATTGCAGGAGAATGTATGAAGAAGACATTTATTATTTCTATACATGTTTTGGCTGTCAAACTTCCATAATGCCCCTTTAAAACATTTTTTCATGCCTCTTAACAAAGTTCTAACATAGTAAAGCTATAAATATATTGTAGAGATTAAAAAAATAAAATTAAATAATGAAGTGGTGCTCTCGCATTTGTCTAAAAATCTCCACCAATAACACGTTTTGAACCAAATGCAACTATTGGACCATCCGGTTGTTGGTCTAGCTGGACTGCAGCACTCCCGCACTTCCCTGGGTCCTCCATTCATCACACACTCATGTATTCAGCAACAGAACACCACTGGTGTGAGAGGTTCTCCTATCAATAATCTCAGAAGGAGAAATGGGTGGCTACTTCAACTTTAGGACAAACTACCAGAGTGCCAAAAAGAAAAGCACCATTTGAAGTCACAGACAACAAAAGACGTTTGGACCTAGAAATCGGGACTGGTGTTTCCGGTTCTGGCAGAAACATTTAAGATAGCGGTACTCACACCTGCTCCTGGTAAGCTAGTATGCAGTATGTTTTCCTTGTTTCCCTGCTCAACACACCTAATTCAGTGGTTGAATCACCTGTGCAGCAGCTCATCAAGCTCTTCGGAGGCCTGTCAATCACCTGCTGATTGAAGTCAGGTGTGCTGATGCAGAGTTCAAACTAAAACATTCTGGATACCGGCCCTTCAAGACAATGAGTGAGTATCACTGATCTAGGAGAAGATACCAGAAAGGAGGGGTAAGTGTTCCATGTCCATGTTTGCATTTATAGCTTAGCTTGTTCTGTAGTTTTACTAAAGAAGTGAAAGCATTCACCCAGCTGGTCCCGAGGTCACAAAATCACCAGAGTATCTCAAGTCCCAGAAGTTCACCCAAAAGTGATGGGAAACAAGACAGAAGGATCCAAAAGGTCTCAGGTTTATTTTCTGTTCTGATTATTTACAGAGGCGTCACAGGTTTATTTTTTATTTTTTTACTTGTTAAGCAACTACAAATGTCTTTTATTCTGAAAGTTGCCGGATGTTCGCGACTTTGACTTCTTGTCTGCACTGACCTTAAATCCACAGTTTGACGTATTCATATAAAAAAGACTCGAAGTGAAAATTTTGTGGAGCAACACGACACTATGCTTCCGGGACGCGTCGCTTCGCTGCCGGTGGAAACACGCCAACTGACTATAGCAGTGGCTATTGTCACGGCCGGTGGAAAGCCATGGTTAAAAAAAACAGAAAACAAATGTATGTGCCTACTTGAGAGATAAAGTCTGTAACGAGGTGGAAATGAAAAGCAATCTAGCTGAAGGTAAGTGGTCAGACATCTGCATTAGCACGTATTTATTACCTGATCTGTTCATGATCCTCCAATTATTTTAGCTTCATTTTTGGCCGAAGCAAAAGGCAAAACTCACACTGAACACAGTGGTATGGTGAACTACGAGTCAAAACAAGAAACAAATGTCTGCTAAAACAGAAACTTCTACTTTATACAGTCATCAGTTTTCTATTATTCGTTTGGTGTTAGCTACACAATTCACCATTTCCTCAACCAATTACCTCTAATAAGTCTAATAAGACATTGGGGCTCAGAACCAGAGTTCTGTCGTGCACTGGCCTTTGTCTGATTATGTGTGTGTTCTGCACGCCGTCACCATTCTTCCAGCAAATGTGCTAATGCACTATCATCACACTAGGGTTTCAAAGCCTGCCTGGGTTAATGAAGCAAAACGTCCCAGAAATCTGCAGCTGCCACGTCGGAGGGACAAACGTTTAACAGATTATTCAGCTCAGACTAACCACCTTAGCGGGTCAGATGGTATTTGCCCCAAAAAGATAAATCAACGCTGGATGCAAAATCAACAATTCACAGATGCTTTTTAAAGCAGAACCTCCAATGAGATGAACTTTTCATTTTCTAATTTGGAACCAGGCCTAGCTAACATAGAGATAATTAGTTAAGAACATCAGGATTGCAGAATTACAGGTGGAAATCACAACTAATAAACTTTTTGGGTGACCTTTCTCTGCCTGCAGATTGTTTCATAGGGAGAGAAACTTCATCTTATATCAACATCCATGGTTTTCCTTTTGTTTCTGTCTATCAAACACATTAAACAGCTGCTGGAGGATCTGCAGAGACGTTCTGGTCCTGAACCATACACTCTGCATTCATTACACTGGATTAAAAACTGCTATTAATAACATCTCATTACATCCTTTAATGAGCTCTGCAGGTGTGTCTTTGAAACCCCAGGCATCAGTAATTGAAATGGCAGGGAGAGCATCTATAATCTAACAGTCTCCTAATAAATAAGACTTTGTCTTCTAGACGGAGGGCTCACATCCTGGGTTTGGGCAATTAGGCTGAGGAATAAATACATTTAGCACCTCACTGGTTTTTCCACAGGCAACTGTATCAGACAGTCCATCACACAGACGAAATGGTGACCGTTTAAAACACACCTCTGGTGGGGGGCAAGTTGGGAGCTACCGTCCAAACAGTTTTACCAAGAGAGCTCCGATCGATTTTTTTGCACCAAGATTATGTGAGTTTAGCATACTGATGGCTGAAAGTCAGGATGTTCTGATAGATTCACTCTATAAAGATCTGCGTTAGTTAAGGCAAAACTAATGATGAGGAAGCTTCAACTCGGGTTACTAAAGGCGAGATATCATTAGTATATTAGTAATGTCCTAATCAGGATTCTTTAATTCTGGTACAAATCTGACGTATTTAAGGTAAAAATCTGCTGATATGGACCTAATCTGATTCCTTAAGTAAAGCTCTTATAATAAAACAATGTTGGTTTCTTTGGAGGATCACGGTGTAGGGAGACAGTTTATCTACACAGAGGATAAACTGTCATATGCAAATGAACAACGTAGGCATTGGTAACAGCTAAGGATAAAAGGGAATCTATGAGTTCTACCTGTAACCTGCAGCTTGTCCTCGCTGACCTCACATTTGAGGTAAAGACGTCCTCTTCTTTCAGTGTGATCAGTTCCACAAAGGCTCGGCACGTTCATAACACACTGGTTATGGACGTTCATGTCACAGGCTGGTGGGACAAAGACAGGAGATGTCAGCAAACACAAATTTAACCCAAATCAAGCTAAACTGAACCAAGATGTTTGCAGAACGTAGCACAAGAAAACTAAATTCCCCATTTTAAAACTTTTTAAAAACAATTTCTTTTAGCAACCAATCACCATCTTTTAAAAAGTAATATGGACAATTACCTTCAGTATGGCCTTCTTTTATTGCACCTATTTCTCCAGATGCATTTAAAGGGACTTTACGGAGTTTTGAATTTTTATGCTCGCGATCGCCCCCTCAGGTCAAAAGTGTAACGGCAGCTTCAATAGTAGGCTCGTGCACGAGGCACGCATGCTGTACGTGCACACTCCTTAACGAAAATAACAGCTGAGACAGTCAGCTCCGTGTGTGTGTGTGTGTGTGTGTGTGTGTGTGTGTGTGTGTGTGTGTGTGTGTGTGTGTGTGTGTGTGTGTCCAGGAGGACAGAGGACAGGAGAACGTGCAGCTAATTAATGAAATAATTTGGTTCTGGACTTTTCTCTTCAGCACAGCCGACAAAGGTTTATGATGGGTCAGTCCTCCTGCATGCTCAGATCATTCCCTTCCCTTGCTTGAAAAATTGTTCCAAAATGAAAGTTGAACCCACATCTTTTTTATCTGTGAATTCAATGCTGTTCGGCGAGTCTCAAATAAAAATTTGGGCATCTTACTGTAAAAAAATATACCATTAATGTAAAAAATAAACAGGCGGATTGGTTCGGCGTCTGCAGTGATGCGGACGCTGAGCCGATCTGTCGTGGTGAAGAGGGAGCTGAGCCAGAAAGCCAGGCTCTCGATTTACCGGTCGATCTACGTCCCAATCCTCACCTATGGTCATGAGCTTTGGGTAATGACCGAAAGAACGAGATCGCGGATACAAGCGGCCGAAATGAGTCTCCTCCGTAGGGTGGCCGGGCTCAGCCTTAGAGATAGGGTGAGGAGCTTGAACATTCGGGAGGGACTCGGAGTAGAACCGCTGCTCCTCCGGATCGAAAGGAGCCAGTTGAGGTGGTTTGGGCATCTGGTCAGGATGCCTCCTGGACGCCTCCCCGGGGAGGTGTTTCGGGCATGTCCTGCCGGCAGAAGGCCCCCGGGTCGACCCAGGACACGTTGGAGAGGTTACATCTCCAATCTGGTCCGGGAACGCCTTGGGGTCCTGCCGGAGGAGCTGGTGGACAAGGCCGGGGAGAGGACGGCCTGGAGCTCCCTAGTTGGGATGCTGCCCCCGCGACCCGGACCCGGATAAGCGGAGGAAGACGACGACGACGACGTAAAAAATAAACTCTAACTAAACCATATTCACATCCAGAATCTAACCCGGGTCTTCTGCACAGGAGTCCGACGTCTTACTAGGTGAGCTAAAGCACTAATGATGTTTTTTGTATCTGTAACATTTATATCCTTGATGACAGCTGAAACAACGTTCAAAGAACGGTTCAGAGCAAAAATGGCTATTTTGTTGCTAATTAGCAGGAAATATCTAGAAGAAAGTTCTACAGAAAGTAGCTAAGGGTCCTCAGAAATGTAGCTAGCTTTGTCACTAGGCGTTAGGAACAGCGACAAAGTGGCACTGCCTCTCTCTCTGCTGCTAACGCTACGGATAGCAAATGCTACGGGCGATGCCTGAGCGTGAACGCGCATGAAGCAGCCTGCTCGACCCGAGCATCTCTCTTTTTCTGTGATTTTACAGAAAAACAGGCAATCACAGTAAAAATGCCAGGGCTCATTCTACAGGACCAGGGCATTGCAGGAGAACGTATGAAGAAGACATTTATTATTTCTATACGTGTTTTGGCTGTCAAACTTCCATAATGCCCCTTTAATCTCATTTCATATTTGGCACAATAATTAAAGACTTGTTTATCCTAAAAGCTGCATGAGAGAGGAGATCACAAGATTACGACCCAGATTCAGCTTCGTGACGTTGTGCATACATGTCAGCCAGCTGAGCCGCCTAGCCCTGGATAGATAATGGTTACGTCATCATGTCACAAAAAGAAAAATGGTTATCGTGTTACTAAAGTCTTCATTAGAACATTTCATTCCAAATTTAGGATTTATTTTTATTAAGAGCTTTCACATTTAAGGTTGTGTGACTTTCTAAGTGAATAATGTCAACTCATCTTGACATTTTGAAAGCGTTTTGCTATAATCTGTAGTAACATGTGGAGATCATTAGCGCTGTAAGATGTTCTTCTACAGGTGAAACTCTATAAATAATATGGAACCAGACTGAGAGACAATGTAAAGGCTCAGTAACCCTTTGCATGTGTTCTGGATTCATCATCAGCTGATTCGAGTGTTACACTTTGAGTCTAGAATTTAGAACATTTTCTCAATCTTCTAATTGTCTGAGATAATGAATTTGGGGTTTGCAATAGCTGTAAGCCATATTCATAACAGTTACAACAGATAAAAGCTTGCCAAATCTGGCTTTGGACGTAATGAGTCTCTCATTTATTAGTTTCACCTTTTAGGTAGAATTACTGAAAAAATGAATTTTTTATGATATTCTGATTGTTCAAATTTCACCTGTGTGTAGTACTGCTCCACTTTGACCAGAGCTAATTTGGTCCTTCTTCTATAAGTTAGATTTATTCAGTAATGTTTTCAGGGTAACACTACAATAAGGGCCCCTTAATGTTACTTAGTGCATTATTAAACATTAATTAACAAAGGACCCCTAACGTTCCCAATTTGTTTAACTATTAAGCGTCCTTAACGTTATAACAAAGGGCGGGGTGGGGTGGGGGGGGGGGCACTTAGTAATGCATTAATTAACATTAATATTAATATTAAAAGTCTCTGAAATGTCATATCCCAACCGCCCCCTCTCCTTGTTTACTGGGAAACCTGGACGATGTCCCGACTGAAACATCTTTGGTTCACGTGGTTCTGACTGCCATTTGCATCGCTAAGAAAACTATCCTCAAGAATTAGAAAAATAGGGATACTCTCTGCATTAACCAGTACAGAAATCTTTTGTTAGATCATATTACACTTGATTTAGCCTCTGCTTCCACTTCAAATCAATCTCTCTGGGCTCCTTTGATCGATTCCATCACATAGCGATGATGGGGGACCATTGATGTTGCCCTGCGGGATGATGTGTGTGTGTGTGTGTGTGTGTGTGTGTGTGTGTGTGTGTGTGTTTGTGTGTGTGTGTGTGTGTGTGTGGGGGGGGGGGGTCTGAATTTGGAGTATCCGGATGTTCCCTGGGGGTGGGTTCACTGGGAATGTCTGGGACTGGGGGGCCGTTGCCCCCCTCTGGAGGTGCTTGGGTTGCCTCGGGGGGTGGACTACTGGCGGTTATGAGTGGGGCCCCTTAGAGGTCTTGGCGGCAGCCATGGGTCACTGCCTGGCAGCTGCATTGCCCCTAGGCGGGTCTGGGTGGGGGTCTGGGGGCTCGGGGTGGCCGACCCCGTGTGGGGATCTGGGTGGGGCCTTGGGGGTCAGGTCCTGACATGTATGCTGCCGGGAAGAAGGCAGGAACATGCAGCAGTGCCTGGCCCGGGTTCAGAGGCCTCGGGTAGCCCTTGGCTCCTCTGCTGTCCCATCACAGGGAAGGGGGAGGTCCAGAGGGAGAGGACCCAACCTTTCCTGGATGTCCTATGTCTAATATATTCTGGAAGTTGTGCAAATGCAGGGATGGGCATAGATATTCTGCTGGGGTGGGGCTGGGTTGGTGCCTTCGGACTCCGTGAGGCTCTGTAATGCTGCTGCTTTGGGCCCTGGCAGGATGGACTGGGGTCTCCATGCCCTGGGTGGCAGTTTGACAACAGAGGTGCCTATTGGAGCCAGTGGGGGAGCTGGCTCCCTGGAGGGCTAAGCCCAACCAGCCATTCCTCCCCATACCCGCATATTTCTCTCCTCCTGCTTCCTCACATCATCACACAAACATGCACATGGGACCTTAGGGGGTGGACAAGTCAGGGAGTGCTGGCCTGTGGCAGCCTGCCCCCCAATTTTTTTGCACCTTATCAAGTCAAAGTCAAAGTCATTTTTATTGTCATTTCTACCACATGTGCAAGACATACAGAGAAACGAAATTGAGTTTCAGTGCACACAATTCAGAGATCAGACATACATGGGTAAGACACATGACAAGAATTGGTGACTACGGTCATTCGCAACATGAGTCGCGCTACCTTAATAGATAGATGAAAAAGGTGTTACATGAGGATAGTTGGGGGTAAGGTAAAAAAAAAAAAGGCATAGCAGAGTAAGACCCAGCGGGGAGTAACTCTATTATACAAAAAAAAAAACTCCTCAACATAGAAGCACAAACAGCACAGATACAAAACATCAGAGTCCGATGTGCCCGCTCACCACAGCCATGGAATACACCTCATCAACACACAACACTATATTGGAGCAGGTGGAGGGAGACTAGGGGTCTTAGCACACCTCTGTTGTTGCTTGGCTTCCTGGGGCTGGAGGCTAGGAGGGAGATCTGGCCGTCTGGTTGGGGTCTGGGGTGGTGGGTTGCTGTGCTCAGCGTTGGGCGGGGGAGCCTGCTCATCAGCACCCCAGCAGAAAGGGTCAAACTCTGGTAACCGGTGATGGTTGTACCCCATGTGCAGCAGTACCGGGACCAGAGTGAATAATGAACTGATGTTCATTGTTTTCATTCATTATTTTGTTCAGAGTCTCCTTGGGGTTCCTGTGTTCTGGGGCAGTGTCTGGATCTCTGGGACTTGGAGCTCCCCCCGTCTCCTACGCATCTTTGGGGGGCAAATCTGTGGTCCTTCACACTCCATATTGGACGCTCCCATAGAGAAACCTTACATAAACAAGCGCGTGTACACACACAGGTGCTCACATGGTGCTCTCAAAAGTATGGGCTTGGGCACGTTCAACACATGTCTTAAGACTATGGTGGGCACTTAATGCACTGTGATTTATTATCGTGTGACTGTTCAGTTAAACAATGTTGATTATATATTTCTTCATCAAGTTGACGCAGTGATAGCTTGATCTTGT